AGACTTGTCCATACGTTTCGCCTCGCAGTTGTGGCAGCATCCTCAGTGGTTGCTGCGGGGGAAGTGGTCCTAGTTGGCAGCGCCGCGTTGACCTGACGCTCCCGCGGCTCTGGGCCTGATTCATATGTGAAAGGCGAGGTTCGCGTCGCTCTGGTCTGATTGGATCGCGCCCGCCTGTTCTCGCGTCTGATTGGGCTCCTCATGCGTACTGGTTAGCCTGCCGAGTTTTAGGTCGTACGCAGTGGCCGGGTACCATGTATTGTTAATTTTTCTCCTTCGTTCTTTTGTTAAAAATGTGTTCTTAGTGTTGGTAGATCTCGCAGGCTTCCAATTTGGAGATCTCTTGAGTAGTGTGTGGGGGTGGGAGAGAATATCCGTGCTTCGGAAAGCGCATGTCTGTCCGCGCTCGACAGCGCGTGATCGGCGACTGCTACTTTGTCCCGTATGTCCTAGACGTCAGTTCCTTTTGTTGTTCTTTATCCTAGTATTAAAACTTCTACCTGTTAAGTACCTATGTATACGGACCCTACAAGATGCAAGGAATTTGGTTACTCCAGCTAAAGACATACGATCTCTGGGGTCTTTTGGCCGACGTAAAGTGTTACGGGTTGTTGGGTGGGTTTAAAGACCTGTTTTAAGCCTGGTCTTGCTAGCAGTTTTTCTATGCGTCCGTTACCCTCTTTCACATAGGGTGGAAGACAGTACGCGAGGGAGTTATCATCTGTGGTGGTTTTGTTCGTCTTTCTTCCTCTTCGGGTGAGAGCTCGTCCTACTTTCGCTGGGCTTGTACCCCGTTGGCTTGTAAGGCCTTCTCTAGGTGTTGTTATGTCTCTCGGGTAGGTGATCGGGTTCCAAAGCCGTTTAGCACGGTCGTAAAGTGTTTTGATCATACTAGCGCGTTTTTGCCTGGGATGAATGATTTGGGTATTCTGTTGGTAAAATAACGAATCCGTGTGCGTAGTTTTCCGGTATACTTTATGTCAAGGAGCCACTGGATTCCTGTTGACCAAAACTATCATAAGAATCGCGAGTTGTTTTATCTTTTTCCATCTCCATGGTTAACTGATCCTTGGGGGATATTATTAAGATGATCCAGAAAAATCTGATAACAATGTGTTCACCGTGACCCAACACCACGATAAGTATTCATTTCAACGTATCGAAACCAGTGTGTCGGTTTCATAGTCGAGAACTGTTTAATGCAGGAGACTTCGGAAATTGCTCCATGTAAAGGTTGGGCCATCAATCGGACTCAATGATTGGCCCATATGGCCTACCTCCGATCGTCTGCTCATAAACGTTTACCGTTCCATTGGAAATAAGGTGTAGTCAATGTGTGTTTTTAAACAGTAAAGAGATATGAAGATCTTAGACCAAGGTGGAGTGATAACAGAAGACCTTAGAAATAAAATATATCTAAAATAAGATGTGAGGAGATGGAATAATGCGGATATTTACACTACTAGTTCCTTTTTTAAAAAACAGTTAAAAATCGGAATCAATATTTTGTGTAATGCATCAAAAAATTTTAAAATGGTATTTGAAGGAAGACGGAAATATGTGAAAAAGACATTTTTAGACGTACTACTTTTACAGACCGTTTACCTCGGTCAGTAATAGTAGTATTGAATCTCTAGTTTGATATCCGTGGAAAAATAGATTGAGATGCAAAGTGACGAACGCATAAACCGAGTGTGTGGGTTGCGTGTCTCGCAAGTACCGCCTCCTCCGTCGGGGCTGGCCGCACGACGCCGGGCCTGGCCGTGCCACCGCGCTGACAGAGGGCCCACAACGGGCGGGTGGGTGTCGCAACGGCGCAGAAGGGGAAGTGGGCGGGGGTATGTGCGTAAATTTCACTTCACGACGCTCCTATTCGTCCGATTTGCATGATTGTCACGGCGTTGGATTCAGGAAGCATGTCGCTATCGCGCTATAAGGCCACATTTTTAAACTTGTTCTCGGAAGTTTGAAAACTTATTTCAAATTCGCGTTTTTGCTAGATTTTTGGAAAAAGGTCATCGTAGCGTAAGTTCTATTTTAAAAAGGCGTCGAATGTCGTTTACAAATCGAAAATCGGACCATTGATTCAGACGTTATCAGTAAAGTAAATTCCCCTGTGATAGAGTTGCGATCTATTGAATTTTCCTACAAGTATTTTTCGGTGCCTTTAACCTTAATGTAATGTGATTGGTTAATTTCTTATGTCTTCAGTATAAGCACAGAAGCTTGCAAGCTATTACGTTAACGCCTTACGTGTTATGCTTTTGCGAACGCATTGTGAATGAGTCCGCTCATGGACGTAATCCAAACGTTTATTTTAACGCCATGCTTATGTTTATGATTGCATTGTGAATGTCTTTAGACATTTTCTCGTATGCAAAACCTCAGAATTTCTCCCCACTCTGTATTGTGAGGTGCAACCAGCATCGCCAACTAATTCTGACTTAATGGTATTTATTACACATTGTAGTAAATGTATTGATGCAATTTGTTTACAGTTACATAATTTTTTATTTATTATACATGGGTCGAGGAGGTTGAAGAAACCTTACGTAATTATTTATGGGGATTCAAGCTCGCTTTACTGGAGAAGGGTATCCAAAATCTCCCATCTTTCATCATAATTTATGGCCAATCCCCTCTCTAAATGTGAACTAAGTATCGAATTTCAATGGGGTCTTAAAAATCATTACGTTCTTTAGTGAGAGGTGAATTAGATACTAGTACTTTCAATTTTTTTTGATTTAGAAAAATTTTAATAATGTAATCGTAAATGTAATATTAATAGATTTGTATTATACCAACGAAAATCATTTCGTTTAATAGTGAATCACAATGTACATTTTAAATAGACATAGTGATAAAATTGAAACCGAAAAACATTTCCTCAAATAAAAGCTTTACTGCCAATTTTCGGTCAGATGAAAAAGACTTTGTAAATATTTTAATTATATGTTGCAATCAACAATATTGTTATGTACGTCATGCACATCGTAAAAATTAAAAACCGTTCATTAAGTATACCGTTTATTAAGTTATACCGTATATTAAAGGTGAAAAACAAATTCCATGTAATTATGTTTTTAGTTACTTCTATAACCACCGAGTCTAAAACAATAATTATCAAAATTGCAGGAATCCTTAGGGCCACTATGACGTACCTGCTCAGAGAATAGCGTCGTTTGATTGATAAGAAATAACTTGTGTGTAACAGATGATACACCTTTTTATAGACTGAAAGAGAAAATGTCTTGATCCCTCATTCCAAACATCTTGAAGCTATTTTGATAACTCCCTGAAAAAGAGGATAGCTTGACGTATAAAGTGTGATTATAGTTTGACAAATATGATGGTTTATCCGAATGCATTCTTACCTATAAATGCTGCTTCCCTTATAAGGTATACTGTTGATGTGCACTTTACTCTAAACTTTTGGATAAAAATGTACACAGTTACAATTGTTCTTAAGACACCGTGAGCACATCAAGGGACTGACCGAATCAAACGACGTTGGAAGATAGAAACAGCACTTTATGAAGTCAACACAAGCACGTCCGAGGTCGGAAAGAGCAAACGCGCGTATCATTGCCACAGGAAGAAGCGGCGATGTCAAATTCGGTTATCAGGGAATTAAGAAGCAAGAAAACATTCGGGTACCGGATGCATTAGTCTACGAAGAGGCAGATCTGCAGTTGGCCTAACGTCTTGAACATCATCTGGAATCCTGTATTCACAGATATGTGTAAATAGTACTAATTTATAGAGGGCGGATTTTGATAACCTAAACATTACCAAAATTAATCAATAAAATGCTTTAAAAATGCCCTAAAATCAAAGAAAAATGACGTTAAAAATATGATCAAAACCAGTTCGGATGAACAACTCAAGCTGTTCGATGCGTTACTGAAGTAAATGAGGCTTCTTCTCTTTCAATCAAGTGCACTCAGATTGCAAACTTTTGTTTAGGACTGTTCTTTACCAGAAAATCTCTTTCTTTAGTTCTTTCAAAATCGGCCGAACCGACAATGGCGCATATTCACAATTGGCTGACATTACAATTTCTCACGAATTCTGCGATCATTTATGGCAACTCGTAAATATTATTTGAAGCAAGGACCATAAAAATGAAAAATAAAATCGATGGAATCAGCGAAAAATGCTTTAAAGGTAACGGGAAAAGTAACAAAAAAACTTATTATCCTAAATCGATGAAATATGCAAAAATTATCGTATAAAAATGGGTAATTTCCTTTTTATAACATGAAACTAATGTCGTTACTAAAATACATTGTGCTAAAGTTAAAAGCAAAAAAATGCAAGCATGCAAAAAATGCAAAAGCATTAAAATGTGCTCCCTAATAATTAATGTAGAATGCGCGCAGAAATTGATAGAAAACTGCTGCCCCCGGCCATGTGAGAGTCTATGACGAAGAAAGAATTAGTGTTATATAGAACTCACAGAAGTTGTATAGAAATGGTAGATAAGACGGTTCAGTTCTGGTAAAAAGTTAAATTTCGGGAAAATTGCTCTAACGCTAATCATACTTTAGAAAACACATGATTCATATGTTATTTTTCCTATCTCCATGTGATTCTTTATTTTTCTTCTCTCTCTTTAACACCTTCTATTCTCTTTCTCTGATGTTTTCTGTTTTTAGCTTGATTATTTCTTTTATTTTACATTTTTTCCCACTAATTCGAAAATTAACATGACATCGAAGCAAGGTCTCAGAAAAATCAAAGTATAAACAAAACGAAACTTTATAGAAATGTACGGGTTTTGCTGTTTTAAGAAACATACGTGTGTTAGAGGTTATGAATCAGTTAAAAAACAAAAATGAATTTTCTATGATTTTTTGTTGTGTTTGAGACAAACTCTTTAAATTGCATCCAAAAGGATTGGGTAAGGAGAAATGATTTCAAGGACTATGACTGTCAATAAACGCACCAAGATCATTATGATAAAAATTCATTCTATTTTATGTATAAATGGGTATTACATTGTGGAAATTCACTAAGTTCATTGTGGTCTGGGCCACTATGCTGTTCTGCCGTGCGTCGTTGTCTTCTGGATGTGCCAAAGTCTCTTCTTTCTCCTTCTTATGCCGATCCAGCCAAAACGATGCCAAGCTGTGGAAAGAAATTGCCGTCAGGAATAGAGAAGATCAGTAGATGAGGTTAATTACGTTTAGTCAAAGGTACGTGGCTTGGGGATTTTCATCTTTGAAGAAAATCATAAAAAAGTCTCTCTACTTCTTTGCATAGTACATTCAAAGTACAGAAAAAGTTATGTAATGTTGGAGCGAAAAACGGCGACAAAAATATTTTTTATCACTGACACCGGAAAGGTGGGTAATTCTGGTTTCTAAAGGTAGTAAATTACTACAATTAACACGTTGTGTTATCAGAATTCTCTTTTGTGGGTCATTAATATCGAAAAAATTGGATAAAGCCAAAACTACTAACTCCTGTCCGTCAGTGAACAACACTAAAGGCTAAATCATTGGCAGAATTGCTACTCAAATTGATGTTCGTCGATGGATGTGGCCGATGTCACGACCCCTTGAATTTGAAACGCATGTTTTTTTTTGGGGGGGGGTATTTTACGCGAAGAACTATCGACATTTTCATAACTTTTTCAAAAACAGCTCCGAATTTTCTCCGTAAATGTTTGTTTCAAACAGAGACACTTACGTTTATAAAATGGCGTGGTTTTGATTTCTCTAAATTTTCGAAAATTGCAAAAGTTAAAACGTTTTAGGCGTCTTCATTCAACCTACGATATTGAAAGTAGATATATTTCTTTTTAATGAAATCTATTTTTCAAAATTAGATCTTTGAATAAGGTCATGTACATTTTACTATTTTTTTCAACATGCGTGAAATAATGGCAGTGTTAAAAACAATATTTTTTCAAACGCAGCTGCGTTTTTTCTTTATGCTTTTTGAAAAGATTAAATGCAAATACTTAAATAACACTTGGCACAAACGTTATTTCGATGCAGCGTTTACATTTAAAAAAAAATACACAAACGTAGTATGTTGAAGTAGTATCATGTAGTATTATAACAGTTACAATACGTTAAAGAATGTGCAAGCACACTTGGTCTACAAACAAAGACAAAGCGCCTCAGACAGCGTGTGTATTGCAAGTAAGTGTGTGTGAGGATGAGGAAGGATAGATCGCGCGCGGTCCGTGGTCCGTTTGTTAGAGTACTGCTCCAGCGTTCGCCTGGTGTTGATGGGAGAAACCACGAAACTCTACCGATTAGACAGCGGCTGAATTCGACCTGGCTATATGACTAGTGCCACCGTCGGGTCTCGAACCGCAGGACCACCAGGTCAGAGGCAGCGCAGCGACGTCACTTGATGTCATCGAAGCCGCTTTAAAAAAAAATAATTTATCCCTCCACAAATAGTGCACGTCTTTACGAATCTCTATGGTCACCTTGTAAGCGTCAAAATGTCCACCGACAAGCTGACGCTGATTCGCCTTTCTAACGCTCATTAATTCTCCTAAAAGACGTAGCTTTGAGAATGGTTGGCGTGTCGGACTGTTGTACACAAGTTTGCAGATAATGCGATCAAAGCCGTGGAAATATACTTCGTACGTCTATCGGAGGGGAAGAAAAGCCAGCTGCCCCATGTAGTAGATTTACTGCATGTGGAAGACCATCAAGCCTAAAAGAAGCCTCCATTCAGAATCGCCTGATTCGTCGCCCGAGTGATACCTTATTTCTCCTCTAGATGGTGATAGTAGCGTAGAGGAATTTACGTGGTCCTGGAAGAGCGAGCCTGATGGCCCGAGTCTTCGCCATGTGAAATAAGGTATCGTAGAATCGAATTGAATTGAATTGAATTGAGAGAATTTCACTTCGTTACGTACATCAACATCTCTGAAAAAATTAACGGAAAATGTTTCAAAGATATCAAGTAAAAAAGTTGGCGACAAAGAATTGAAATCGTATCTTCGTCGTAGGCCAGGGTTGTCCAACTGGCAACTGGCCGTATGAAGCCCGCTATGCCATTTATTGTAGCCCGTTGAAAGTGAAAGCCCTTTGCAACTACGTCGGGCGAGAACGTGTGCATTTCACCTGATATGGTCTGCACTCCCTTTAATCCAAAAATATGTAAAGGTTTGATTTCAGGATATTTTTGTATTAAATTCAGAAATACAAAATCATTCCAATGTGTTTCAATGCGTTTAGCATTTGGGCGGCCTTATATCACGCATGGTATGGTTCCATTTCCTAAATTGTTTACAGTTTCGACACTTTGCGTAGTTGTTTCTTAGTTAATTTCCTGAAAAATATTACTGGAAAAACAGTGTCTTAAAAAAATCTTATAAAACATCGTACGCGTGGTTCAGCCGCTAGTAGTGTTCACAGACGGACGAACGTTTTGAAAAACCGCTATCAGGGAACCCCAAAAGGCGTATTTCCGTTGAAATATCGAAATCGATATTCCACAGCTTTACGCAACTTTCTTTATACAACGTTTATTACTCCGCATGTTCGTAAGTGCACGGCGAAGTAAAAATTGAGAAACAAGAGAAGGAAGAATGGCAAAGAGAAGCTACGTACACCTGGGGCGTAGTTCTTGATGCATTCCATGAGTTTTGGGCCCGTTTCGCACTTGTTATCATGTGATGCCACTGAAACAAAAATACAGCAATTAGAAAAATAAACATAATGCAGGCCAACCGCCATACACACGGTGTCTATTGGAGGATGGGAAATACTATATATTAAAAAATATTGTTTTAAAAAGGGGGCTATACCACAGTTTTTTGTGAAATTGATTGTTTAGGATTAAACGAAACTTCAAATATTATTTTTTAATGTAATGTTTGTTCGGGTGGCCTGTTGGGTAGTACGTTTTCCGTTGCGTATCCCCGATCGAGGCAAACATTATAAATGTGCGCTTTTCTTACACATGTCTCAGTTTCTGTTGCGAAAGCCCACCCTACGGTTACGAAGACCAGGGTATACGGTGGAGGGATGTTCTAGTGCTAACCGCCTATCCCCTTATCCCATGCCCAAGAGGCTGGTCGTGCAAAGCGCGTATCGGACTGTTGAAGCAAGATCACGCACTTGTACGCAAGTGCACTGGGTTTCAAAGTTTTAAAACGTACTGAGTTATATTCATATATTGTAAAACTGTAGGGTTATGGCTACCACCTGGCAATCCGCCAATTGTAGCCAAATAATAATAATAATAATAATAATAATAATAATAATAATTATTATTATTATTATTATTATTATTATTATTAGGAAAGTGGTGGTGGTATAAACCCCTGAAAACTTCGGCTGTAGGTGAAGGTGGGGGACAGGTCCTTGGACTGAATCGAGACGCCGATGCACGCACCTTCGTCGCTGCACTTCTCGATGAGCTGCATGTACTTGTCGAGCTCCTCCGGTTTCTCCTGCAGCTTGGCTCTGGCCAGCGCTTCCGTGGTGGCGCGGTTGAAGCTGCCGCCGTTCAGCTGCGCACAAAGACGTTGCATTGGCACAGGATACGGACTCATACAGTTTATACAGCCCAGCCCTTTTTTACTTTCTCGCTGCGGAGAAGAGAGGAAGTTATGGAATGCTGCGTGAAAAAACGGCAATTTTCGTTTACGAAAAAGTGGATAAATACAGTTGCTAAATTTAAAATACGTCCTCTAGCACGTGGTGTAGCCAGAATCCATGTTTTGTGGGTCCTTCAACCAGAAATATCGAATGACTGCAAAATGTCTGTGAACTACACTAGTGGCTGATTTTCTCCAAAAACTGATATTCCCCTACCGATCTCGCTGATGTCGCGGTTCCTTGAATTTGAAACTGAAATTTTAGTTTTGGGAGGTGCTTTATATAAAGCACCTGAGACATTTTCCAATTTTTTTAAAAGTAGCTCCATCGTTTTTAATAGAATTTTATGTTGGATACTCTGAAGGACGTTTAAGAGAATGGTGCAGGTCTCATGTTTGTTGAAAAAAATAATTGTTCAAAATTGTAAAAGTTCAAAATTCTTACAACTAACATATTAAAGATAAAGATTTGTTTCCAGAAGAAATCTGTTCCTTCACGATGGTATTTGAAATAAGGACACGTATAATGTTTCGAAAATTTCAGTATTTTCGCGTTATTTTGCGTAAAACTACAGGAGGGGCAGTCCGTGCGGTTTGAACACCCCTAGTTATGCTTGAGATAGCGGTGTCCCCCAGGGGGGGATCGCGGCCACGTAGGTGGTCACGAACTCTTGCGGAGAGTTTCACAGTGCAACTCACGTCGTTAGCTTGGAAGTAGAGGCAGTGAGTAGGCGCGCACTAAGCCCGGTGTTGTAGAGCTTGCCTGGCAACCCACCAGTTGGCCAATGGGGCCTACCCTCAGACTGGATTGGTCCACGGACGTTCGTATGAATGACCCGTTTCCCACATACTAGGAAACGCCCCTCTCACGTCGGGTAGTTAGATATCTAGCGACCATTCCACACAAACTCATGTTGTACGAGGAGGCACGTGTCCCCGGGGGGGGGGGCTTCCCCACCGCCGTCCACAGGCGGGGGCCTCGGACCTCCCGCCCCCATTCAATGCCTGCGTTGGGCTGCTCTGCCTGGCGGGTGGTAGCAGCTTCCCGCCCAATTTCACACCTGCGATCCGGAGACTTTCCGAAGAACGTCCTCCGCCCCATTCTGCCCGAATGTCGTCGCGCCAGGGGCCCAACTCGCGGGTTGCCGGGCAAGACCCGGTAACACGAAGCTTAGCATCATCTACTCACTGTCTCGACCTTGAAGCTAACGACGTGAGTGCCGCCGCGAAACTCAGAGCCCGTGTGGTCGCCTGCAACTCTTCACAAGAGACCGTGTTCATGATTCACCCTGCGAGGAAAGACGCTAAGAAAAGCTTAGGATTGCCTCCTCATTGCCTGCTCTTTCAAGCTAACGACGTGAGTGTCGCCGCGAAACTCTTGCCCCGGGTGGTCTCCTACAACTCTCCACCTGATGTCGTGACAACCTACGCAGACACGCCCCTTTTGCGAGGGGGAAATTGCGTGCGGTCCGTGGCCCATTTGGGAGGGTACTACTCCGGCGATCGCCTTCTCTTCATTGGAAACCTACCGGTCAGCTGGCCGCTAGAATTCTCTTCCTGGCAGCGACTGAATTACATCACAAGCTAGTGTACCGAACCCCACAACATCTCAGACACGGACTGCAGTGCCAACAGTTTTTTGTCCTGAGCTACCTTAGCCGGTATTATGGATGTTTGAGAAATGATGCAAAGGGTGTAAGAATATAAATAAAACAGTACCCCGTGACCTCATCCTATCTTATCATTAGACGTTAATCGGTACGCTGTCTAAATAGCTTGGTACTTACCATTCCAACTTCCTCGAACAAGCAGCCAACGAAGCACTGGGAACAGAAATAAACATTTTGTGTAAATCAACTTGATCATTTACGAATGAATGAAATGTCAACGTCAAAGAAAATGAATGAAACGTGAAAGTACGGGCTCATCTCCATAAACTTCTCTTCTTGGATGAACGTCTTTATATTTAACACGCTAAGAGTTTTCGTTGAGAAATACATTTTGAGCTTTGTAGTCAACCAAATATGCTTTCTTTCTTGCGATGAAACATTCCTGAAGAAGACCTTGTTCTGCGTTTCTTTCGATACAGGTAAGACATTCAACTATAGCGCATATCGAGTCCCGTATCGAAGGCAACAACAGGCAATAACGATTTAATTAATAAGAAAAAGAAGTTTATACCACATTGCTTATTGGAATTGTCTCAACAATAAGATCTTGAATATCCTCCGTAAAATTTGTGTTTAAGGTTCTTTTCAGTTGTAATTGCAACACTCCTTAGGATTAATGTGTATTAGCACTGTTCCAAAGATGGTTAAGGTTGGTGCACACATGAAAATGCTACATGAAAGTTTTTTTTTTTTTTTTTGAATTTGTTACGCCTGTATAGATGCAACGCGTCTCCAAGATCCTTAAGGCAAATCTTGTACCCGAATATCCATTTGTATAGTATATGCATGAATGTGTCACGCGTAACTGTATAGATTAGAAGTTTTTAAGCTAACTGATCATCAAAAAGAAAAATAATGTTTATTTTAACAAATCAGTGATATATAACAAACTAGTTCACATTTGTATTGTATATACTTTTTAAAACATTTAATGTGCTTGTAACAAATAATGTACTTAGGCTTCCGGGTCAATGATCCTCATCTCGATCAGGTTTTTGCCCAGTTTCCCTGATCCATTGAGCAAATGCTGAGATAGCCCCTTGTTTTGCCTCTCGGTGTAAATATAGCTTCACTATGCGCACGTTTTGTTGGGCTCTTCTTTTGCTTATAGTGGTAGGAGTGGTGGTAAGGGCGAGTTACTATTTTGTTCGCAATGCAGAAAAATCATATCTGCAGTTCGCTTAATGTTTCAAATAAGTTTTCCATAACTCGGGAACGAAAATGTCTAGTTTTTCAAATGTCGCTAATCTCACGCTTTTTAAAATTTTATTTTTATTTATCTTTTACTTTTACTCACCTTTTAACTATTTATAGTTAAAATGATGGGAAGGGATTTGGAACTTTAGAAAAAGTGCGCAGATGATCTTCTCCCCCATACGTCACGAACAGTTTTTAATGTTTTTTGACCAAATAAATTGAAATCTAACTTGATAAATACACCAGGAGAAAGAAGTTGGTGTGCACTTCTAGACTTGATTAAAAGATTTTAAACTTTAGGGGATACTTTTATGAAGCCCCTGTGACATTTTCAAAAATTTCTGGAAATTGGCTGACATTTTTTCTTGAAAATATTTGCATATTGAAGCAAATGCATTTATATGTATAGTTCCAAATTACATTGAAATCTCAGAATTTTTAGAAAATTGCAAACATTTTTATACTTAAAACACTAAGGGTTTTCGTTCAGAAAGAACCTTGAACTTTCTACTCAACCAACACAAATTTCGTAAGTTTTGCTTGAAAGGAAAGACAGTGGGGAAAAGACGTTTTATTGCTTGCTATTATTAACATATTTTATAGTATAAATACTAAGTATTAATAAAAATCATAACAATTTATGTATACAAATAAGCTAATATTTATTTATATTTTCTTCTTTTTCTCGGTTTGTCATTTCTGGTTTACTTTTTTCTGTTAATTTAATCCCGGTGAACAGAAATATTTACTTGAGGAAAGAAAAAAATGTAATTAAAGGCGCAAATTAAAAATAAATAATTATAATAAGTACAAATGATACACTTTAGTTTTCAAAAATTAATAATCGAACCGAAAATTATCAAAGTTACAAGAAATCGTTGATAAAATGACATCTTACGGCACTGATTGTAACGAATTTGCAGTTTACTGCAAGAATTATTGCGTCATCACACATTTAACAAATCGCAGCACGAGAATCATGGGGAGGTAGCTGTAAATCAAACAGTCGACCATCGTTATTTTCGCACAGATATCAAATACCCGTAATGCCCTTCTTTTCCCATAAGATTTTTATCCAGCCGACCGCCGCCGGTTACCCTCTACATGCCCACGGGGCGCATATTCGACCATACACTACACATCACCACACTTGCGAGCTCGTCTCATCTGAGACCAGCAGAACGAGATGCCCTCAGCGACAACTCATACGTGAGAGACAAGGGACAAAGTCCAAAGTCCAAGGCGGGACTCGAAACCGCGACCCTTCGGGCCGAACCTCTGAGTGGGTACGCGCCACCTCGGCCATGTAGACCGACACAACAAAGTTGCTTTCAAAAATTAACTTTTATTATCCCATTATTTATAATGCTTTTATGCAAAAAACAACGTATACAATTCGTTTACGTTGCTTTATGGCATTCGTACAATTACTTGGAAACCTCGCTCGTTTTCCAAACGTGTACTCATGCACTAAAGCTTAACATTATGAACTAGTTGCATAATATTCTATTGTCGGATATGCATGCTGTGACTCACCTTGCCAGAATCGCTACTGGGAATAGTCAGGGACTTCATGGCCTCCATTTCGTCTGCAACACAAAGCCACAGGCAAATCTCATCCGCGGTGAGCACTCCCCGCTGCTTCGCACTTGTCTTGATGTGTTTCAAAACTTGATTCGATTTTTTTAATTCATTTTTTTTTTCAAAAATAGTAAAAAAACTGTATGTGACCTATGTGGCAACGTATTTTGAGCTCAAAAATCCTTTCACCGCCCTACTGTACAGTACGATAGTGCGTACTGTATACTACATTACATAATATGGTATTATAAGTGAAGTATTAATGTAAGTCAAATATTCATGTAATTTATGTATGTAATGTACACATTACAGTAGATATTTTTGTTCCCGAGTTGTAGAAAACTTATTTGGTAAACGAAGTGCAGATTTTAATTTTTTTTGTATTGCCAACAAAATAGTAACACCCACCCCTTTCTGGAGGTTCTACTGTAATGTACATGTATTATATGTGGATTTCTTGTAGAAAGTTGGTAATACTAACGCGATGAATGTGATTTCTACGTGTGATGTAATAAAAATATCAGTATTGTATGAAAATTTATTTCCACCGTTAGGTAAGTGAGTTTGGATAAAAACTACAGATTCGTAAATGGGAAAGGCAAAATAGTAAGATTGTCAAAAGGTTTCTCTTCTAAAATAATTGACTTTGAATATAACTTTCGAAAGACTTGTCATTAACATGGAGAGATTGGAATGCATGCTATCTATAAGCAAGCTATATTATACTTCATTTTATCATAATAAATAAAAAGTGTGAGTTTGATGTTATTACTAATTACGTAGTATGCTTGAAATTCACAGTCTGTTTGTATCTGTTATTTTTTAAATTGTTTATTTTTCTTGTTCAACATAAATATTTTTCAAGATTTAGATTTTATATAATTTTCATTACCTAAATAGTATTCGAGTGCTGATATTGAATTCCGGGTAAAGGTCTAACAGATTGTTCTAATTTAAATGTATATGTAATACAACTGCAATTTAGAATTAAATTATTTGAACGTTTATTAATCATTTCCTTAAAAATGAGCCGTGTATTATTATGTTAAAAATTCAAAATATGATCTTAGCCTGTCACTGTGTATCAGATTGACAAATGAGTAAAGAATGGCTTGGACCAAACGCAATATCAACCATCCAAATAGCGCAAAGAAATGGCACTGATAGAGAAAAAACAGGGTGGGAATTTCTGAAAAATCCGATGTCATAAAATCTCAAAAGGTATGTCACAAAACTTTGAAATGTTTGAAATTGAAAAAATGGCTAGATTTTTACCTTCAGAATACGATATAGTAAAGCTAGCTCAATGCGGAATCGCAAGGGTTATGTTGATTTTTTTGTATAAGAAAAGGCCCCGCTTTATGCGATGTAAAACATCAGAATTTGAGTTTGCCAGGACTGCGGTTTGTGTTTACACGGGGCACATTTCTAGATTACTTTCCGCATTGAGCACATTTTACAATGCAAACATAGACAAGTACGAAACAGAATGAAAACAAGAAACATTAAAATATGCGTACCTGGAGAAATAGCATTCTGACCGCTGCATTTTTCCATGATTTCCTTCATCTTGGCAGGATCTCCTGCCGATGACACCTGAGAAATGAAATAGCACGAAAATGATTTCACATCAAGATATTCGTTGGTGGCTTCTGACCTTCAAACATAGATTGATTTACTAATTGATTGATGTACCCAGTCGTGCCAACTGCTATGATCTTTCCCGTCCCGTTAGCGAAGGGAATATTTTATTCTGGAAGGCGACCTTGTTTCTTCGGGTCCGACTTACACGTCGGCCTGTGGGGAATCACCCACAGAGATACCTCCCCTCGCGAGTCAAGCTCTGTGCTTCCGACACGAACTCTCGACAGTTTTTGCTTTCTCGCTTCGGAGTAAAGAGAACGTTATGCAATGCTGCGTGAAACAACGGCGAATTTCCGGCAGAAAATCTCTTATTTCAGGGCTCTGGCAACGAAAAAGGATAAAGCCAGTTGTGAAATTTAGAAAAGAAATCTTCTATCGCGTGTTGTGGCCAGAATCCATGTTTTGTGGGTCCTTGATAACAAAAAATTGAATGACGCCAAAACGTATGCTTTGAGGACGACTGTTCCGAAACTACCGATTTTCAATGGTTTCTCCCATGAACACCAGGCGAACGCCAAAGCAGTTCCTAACAAACGGGCCACGGATCGCATGCGATCTTTCCTTCCACTACCTTACGCTATCCTCAACCCTTATTTACATTCTCTCTCTCTCTCTCTCTTTCTATTTCACCCACACACGCTCACCCACTCTCTCTCTCTCTCTCACACACATACACACACACCATCTCTCTCTTACACACACACACACACGCACTACATTTCCCCACTTGCCGGGAGGCCAATCGGAGCTCGTCCGGCTGGGGCGATGCCAGTCTAGTGGGAGATACCCGGTTGGGGAAAATCCCCGCTAGCCGTCAAGTACGTCAGCGCCGGATCTGGCCATTCAGCGGAGGCAGATCACCGCCCCTGCTGATAAAACATTCACCACACTTACGGGACCAACGGCCGTAGCAGTTGACGCGTCCGGAATCACTAAGCAATCAAACGACGAATCGTCAGATTTTTTTGTTGTTGATCGTCCACTGAAGCCCATTTGTTGTATGCAAATTCTACGGAGCATCTCGCGCACATTTAAACGGGGGCCAAGTGCGGGGTGGCGCTCGCCCACACTGCCGTGCAGGAAGCCGCCGATGCCCCTTGCGGAATTTGTTAAATATTTAAATTATATTTAAAGTAGCAGTTGAATTGGAGTGTCGTGACGTGTTGTGAAGCGTAGTGCAATAGAGAAGTCAAGTGCAAGCGTAGTGTAGCGAAGTGACATGCAAGTGTAGTGAAGTGAAGTGTAGTGAAGTGAAGTGAAGTGAAGTGTAGTGTAGTGAAGTGGAGTGAAGTGGAGTGAAGTGGAGTGAAGTGGAGTGAAGTGGAGTGAAGTGGAGTGAAGTGCAGTCCGTGCAGGACAGTCATAAAGTGTATAGGTAAAGCTGTTATTGTTATGTTATTGTTATTATTGCCTTATAATGCTTTAAAATTACAGTGTACTACTATTCTTAGTTGTAATATGTAAATAGTAGTGTTCTGCCACCAGGTTCTATACCTACCTGCAGAAATAATAAATCTATCTATGTAAGGTGCTCCCGTGCGCGGGTGATCTGTGCCTCGTCTCGAAACCTTTCCCAAACGCGTCCTTCTTCTCTGTGCAGTCGCAATGGAGCTGGGCGGAATCTGTACAATCTCGCAGAGATTGAGCTTTGCCACGTAAACAGGGATTATGACATTATTAACTTGGCTGTCCGGGTGACGCCGCGTCCATGGCGAAGGTGCCGACTTTCGGTCGCCATTCTGCGACCTTCCTCAGGGCGTAATGCCATGAGTGCAGAATGGCGTGAATTGAATACTACTTGCACCATGAAAGATTATATATATATATATATATATATATATATATATATATATATATATATATATATAATGTTCATTTCCATACATAAATATTTGTGATAAAATAGCGTTTGAGGTCCTCAATTGCCCCTTTTATCGTTGTAACATGTAAAACTAAAATGTCACGATTTTTGTGATTTGAAAATATTGTCACCTTAGAATTAAATTGATCGGTGAACACACACAGAGTCGGGCCTATTGTCAGGCAGACGGACTTTCGAACGGGCAGCCAGGCAGGCAAAAGCCGGAGAGATTGGCGGACTCACTGATTCGCGCAGCTGAAATACTTGGGGGTGCCCGTTATCAACGGCCTCCTAACATTTTTCACAATTCTGAACAGTTATATCCCCACCACACAACTAAAAAAATGAAAAGCTTGCTATTAAGGGGTGTTGTTTGTTGTAAACAATAGAAACACCCCGTCATACTAATTAGCATACCTCGTAACTCCAGATTTGACAGTTTCGCAATAAAAAGAATAAACATAGCTCGGAGGAAGAATTTTAGTTTCCTTTCTTGTTGACCTTATAAATACTGGGGAATTCAATTATTTAAGATACTCAATTTGTTATTTATATTTATTTATTACTCTTCTTTCGTAATTATATTTTACCATGAAGTAAACAGAAAATAGAGGAGGGAATATTGAGTTACAAGGTCTGCTAATTAGCACGAGGATACCAGAAGCAGCAATGTCTATGTTTACAATGGAACCCCTGTACTCTCAAATGCAATGCAAGAATGGCGCAGACTTTCTCGTAGCCGTACCTGCAGGGCCGCAGCGGCGACGAGGGCGAGTAGCGCGGCGTGCATGGTGCGTGCTGGCGCCGGCAGAGAGCAGTGGCGTCGACGGCGTGTGTGTGGGTATTGGCGTGGCCTCTTGCCTTTATAGCACCCGCGAAGGAGGAAAGGAGGGGCGTGTGGGGGCGGTGTGGGGGCGGAGGCGGAGGTGATGTGTAGCGATGCGTTAAGTGCCGGGGTAGGACGGGGCGGGATGAAATAGGATAGGATAATAAATTTAAGACCGCAGAGAACGGTTGTCGGGAAATATTCTTTCACAAATCGAACTATAACGGAATGTAATAGATTACCTGCAAAAACCTTTGAACCCTTTCTTCAAAGCGTTTAACAGTTAAGGAAATGAATTTAGGGTATTACTAAGTAAATGAGGGACTGAACAGAGAATAGTAGGTTATAGACCGATGCATATTGTAATATACTGAAGGGAGGTATCGTGCAGTGTAGAGCAGAGAAATAATGATGGAAGTGATAAAAGGATCAAAGGGAAGTGAAGTGCAGTGTCTTAATTGAACACACATTCAGTGTGGAATTATATTATAGAAGTTTCTTTTTCTTCCGGAAATTCAAAGTTTTATGATTCAGTCAATCATATTGTACATTATTATTATTATTATTATTATTATTATTATTATTATTATTATTATTATTATTAATGCTATTTCTAGAATGGAAAATGGAGAAAAATAGGATAAATAATATGATGATAGATTTCTCAGTCTTAATCAAACATTTATATTCATCACTTTATAAGCAAGAGACACGCAATGTATTTTAAAGATTTACATAATATATTATTGTCGACGATGAACTTCGATCCGTAGCAATTCGGCAGAAGCGGGTCGGTGGCCGGTAACTTTGTCCTTCTTCTCCTTTGTTTCACTCTCATTCGGATCCAGGCAGGACGATGCCAAACTGCGCAGAAATACTTCACATTAAATGAAATCCTAGAAATAAATAAAGTATATAGGTGTATTATTTATTCTTGGGTCCACCGAAAAAAAGAACCGTTTGAGTATACCAGATACATGATACTGTTACAAGGAAACTCGTTACAGTATCATGGATCTGGTATACTACAGCGGTTCTTTTTTTTCGGTGTATGTATCCAATTTCTATAGAGGTTACATTGTTCATTTTTATCTCATATTCCTGTTTATTTGATATTATTTTCATATATATTAATTATATTTTTTTTTAGCCTTTTTCTTCTCTGTTGGACCACTGAAGATGGAATGTAATTATTCCTGAAACACGTGTTTGGTTAATAATTTTTAATACCACTCAGATGGTTAATTGGACAGGGAGATAGCACTTACGCCCGGGGCAAAGGTCTTGAAGCACTCCAGCAGTTTGGGGCCCGTTTCGCACTTGTTGTCGTGGGACGCAACTGAAACACAATTTGTTACACACGTCAGACTTTTGGTTGACTTCCGAGTGACACCTTTAAAATCAAGAGCTTGTTGTAGTGTTTAATAGTGCGTTATTTATTGATTTATTATTTCGTGTTTCCGGGCATTTCAACTTCTAGTTGGTCATGAGTCCTGTAAGAGCAGTGCGTGTAATATCAGGGTTGTCGGCGGTTACCTTCCTCCCATAGAATGTGAGCTCCGGCGCTGACCTACAAGCCACCTTGTGAGGTTTCCCGCTCCAGGTATCTCTTAAGAGTGAGGTGTGGCCCCTCCCCAGGCGGGACAAATTTTATGTTCTCAACTGGACTTCTCACATGCGTGGTAGTGTAATACACGTAAGTATAAGTATGTGTGATGCGAGGAAGTGGGGCCAAGGAAGAGGAAGGAAAGATCGCGCTCGGTCGGTGGGCCGTTTCATAGGGTAACGCTCCAGTTGGTTGTTAGTGATTCCAGGCGCGTCGACTACTAAATGTCATTGGTATCGTAAGCGTAGTGGGTGTTTTATCCTCCAGCGAAATGCCCCCGCTGCATGGTGAGATCCGACCCCGACCTAGTACGTCTTTTTGCGGGGATTTTTCCCAACCAGGTGTCTCCCAACAGCGAGGCAAGCTCTAAGCTCCCGACCGGTCTCCCTGCATGCGTGATAGTATAGTACGTGTTAGTGTGTAAGTAAGAGGTGAAGATATGACAAGGAAGAGAAAGGATATATATATATATATATATATATATATATATATACATAGATACACATCAATATACAATTAATTTTACCGATATTTAATAAAACGGCTGACGTCGTTACTGCAACTACTTAACAGCGCTCTGTGCAAACACGGAAGCTAAACAATTCTTGACAACACGGCTTCCTGGACAGGTGACCGTCTGGGAAGCCCTGTTACTAACGTCTCGGAGCCCCTGGACGAAGGATAAGAAGGCAATTGTAATAAATGTTATTATGAAACCAATTTTTAATTTCTGTAAAGTTTGACTTCAGGTGTTATTGAAAGCGAATAAAATAGTTTTATCCAAGAGAAAAAAAATACAAAGTTGAGAGCGCGATAAAGCGAATGACGTAATCTGCCGAGTGGGTGTTTAATCTCTGTGGGTATACAATATTTTATTTTTGATTGTTTTTGTAATTTTAGTTATGGAATTCAATAAGAATGAAGAAAGACACTTGTATAAACGTATATTGGTTTCCTGGTTAGTTAGAATTCATCTGATCACTTTATAAATTCATCTGATTTTGAGGTACAAGAGATAACTAGTGAAGCAACAGATTGGTAAAGACTTTGCGGCATTAGTTTTCTATTTCCTTTGGTCTCGATTAGCTGTACGAACGTGCCACGTACTGTTGTCAGCTGCCATTTATCCCCGCCCAAAGAAATTAAAAAAATTTCCTAATACTAGAGCGGAAATATCATTTTATGAATATTAAAGAACAGTAAAACCTCGTCCTAAATTACTATTTTAATTGAACTATTAGCAGCCGTTTTGAAGGAAAGCTTAAGCGCTACTGTAAATTCGAAATTTGAAGCTCTTTTTCACAGAAAATGTTTGAGATTTCTAAAAAATTCATTTAAATTCATTTGAAGTACTGCAACTGACAAATACAAGAGTGTATACAACTGTTGGAAATGTGCATATTAATGATGTGAGAGGTCTTTCAAAAAGTTACATTTGTGTACTTAAAAACAAAAACAAAAAAGTACACCGAAATGAACTTTTCTTCATGTTAAAGAGTGAAATTAGCACTATCCCTTCTGAAAGTTCGATTATATAACTTTATCTTTTTATGAAATACGTTCGTAAGGGTTAGAAAGTGAAATGTACGTTCCCGCGTCCACTCAACCTTGTAATGAATGACGTGGCGGCGGATCTGGAGCTATCTCCGGAAGTGCTCCGAGAAATTGAGAAGTTCGGTTGAAAATGAAAAGGCGTCTCACCTTCGTCGTTGCACTTCTCGATGAGCTGCATGTGCTTCTCGATTTCGTCTGGCTTCTCCTCCAGCTTCTCCTTCATGATCTTTACCGCGTTCTCCTGGCTGAACTTGCCGTCGACAAGCTGGAGAACACACGGAAAGCGCGTTGTACAGGATGTCTCGGAATGAATGTCGCAAACTCAGGCGGCACGGCGTCGTTTGCCGAATTGCTTAACTACGCTCCGAGATGTTAAGCAATTCGAGACACCACGGATTGCAGGACTGGTGACCGTCTGGATTACAAGCGTCACCGAGCTAGAATGTACTACATAGAGTGGCTGACCCTGTGGTGTCAGCGCTCTTAGCGGACGCTCGCCGGACTAGGGGTAGCCATGCCGTTTTTACAGTCAAAACATGAGAGGTGCCTGATGGTGACATGTAGAACTGTTGTACTAAATTGACATGTTATTTGTTTCAGATCTTATTTCTATATCGTTGCCTTTTCGTTTATCTGTTTTTTAAATTTTTTAGTGGTAAGAATAATAATTTTCACAATGCCTTCAATGTGTTCGGCATATAACTGTAAAAGTAGAAATCATGAAACCCCGAAAATATAATTTTTTACTTTTGCACTGTACAAAAAATGACTTTTTCTTGATATACCCTCGCGACTTTCTACATTATATTCATAATACGAGATCAAGATCAACAGAATGAATATGACTTTTAAAGTTTGCTGCCTTATTGTGATATGTTTGTTTGCTTGCTTCTCAATTCAATAACAATCACTTTCAGGTGTTATGCTAACTGCAATATCATTTCAACAGCTTTAATTCGTATGACAATAACCGATAAAGGAAGCAACGTGTTCTTAAAGTTTCTCTTTTGTTTCTCTTACATATTGTAATTTATTTAATAATGGTTTGTTTTTAGTCGTGAAACACAGAGTAAGATGATTTATATTACGCGCAGCCCGCGCCCTCCCAGCCTTAACCAGCGCCAAACGGAACGCTAGAATACTCTGTATCTCCAGAGGGCGCTGCTTTGACTGCCACAAATATGGCTTCAATTATCTGCGAAGGTGGAGGCGCTTAAGTCAACCTTTGTAGTTTATTCTAGCTTGTTTGCCGAGCCAAAAGGATAAAAGGCACTAACTGCGACGTGCCATGACAAAACATCTTAACGGAGGGTAACTCCTGGCACTCAATGGTCAACGAGGGTTTTTGGAGACGCGTTGCGTTGACGAAGACGCAACAAATTAAAAAAAAATCTTCTAGGGCATTAGAGTGGTTGAAGATAATAACATTTTGCGTGATTTTTTAAATTCTTACAGAATTTTCAAGAAAGATTCGGTTAAATGACAATCAATTTGAGGCTCTCGGAATAATATCGCCAGATCCTAACCAAAGTTAGTTTCCAGAAAAATGACTTTCACTTTCAATAAGGGCAATTATTTGAAAGTGGAATTTGAGGGTTTAGCCACATCCCAATTCATTTGATATTTCAGCAAATGACAAGTGTATGGCAAGAGTTTACCGCCATATTTCTAACTGGAAGTGTGAGTTCGGTTGGGTCTGTCGTTATTATCCCGAGCACCTCATTTTTCTTAAGGAGACGAATCAAATGAGTTATTGATCCCCTTTGTAGGTACTGTAAGTCGCTAAGAACGACTTTTCGAAGCTTAAAAAAACAACATTTTTTTAGAGCTCTCAGCATCTGGTTAGGTTCGCAAGTCAAACGAATTCCCCACCAGGAGTCCGAGGCGTGTCGAACGAAACCCCATTTGTCTCTACTGGAGGGGCGGGAAATGGTGAGTGACAGACGAGCAGTCAGACACACGCGCAGGTTACGTCAAAACTAGGGCTCGGGCTTTTAGTGGATAAAAAACCGAAAAATATTTACTTTTTATGTGCTTAAAAGTGAAAAATGGGTTAAAACGACGAAAATATTTACTTATGAAAACAAAACAAAAAAAATCTAGAGAAGTTTTGAAGCAAAACGTGACGTTATGCACTGTATATTTCGCCTGTGCAATTTGAGGAAATTCGGGAGCTACTCGTGTTATGAATGTACGATATGTTATCGTTCGGAGTGTGTAGGTTTCAATCGCCAGAAGTGTTAGGAATGGCTCTCACACGTTTTGACAAGCCATGAACCAGACTCACCCCACTCTGTTGGGGGAGTCCCACAGTATCACGTGATATGTGAACATACACTGCATTTGAAAGTGGCACGTCTTTCAGTATATATCGAAAAACTCCAAAGTAATAAACTTGAAAACGCTTAAAATATACATTTATTCATATACAATTTAACGAATTATACTATAATAATATTTGTTTCGACGAAAATATTTATTTTTATGCAAGTTAAGTAAAATATTTATTTTTAGGTGATCTGCAATTTTCTACTTGAATTTCCACTAAACTTTCAATGCTCACGATTAAAGATGAAAATATGTATTTACCTAAACGTCCGACCCCTAGTGATTACCATTTGAGGAGAGGATGCGACGCTACATAAATCGCATAACACAAAATTTGAATGACAGGGAATGGGAATAGTTTAATCCTGAAACCAAAATATTTTTTATAACAGAATGATGTGACTTTTTAAGCACGCAATATTTGTTGACACGCGTTTAAAATATAAATAAAACAAGAATTTCAGCACTCATTTCATTCAAGTGACATGATTGAATACTTACCAGTCCCATTTCTTCAAACATGCACCCGAGAAAGCACTGGAAACAGATAAAATAGTTCAGTAAATTTAGAGAACCTAACTTTTAATGTTTGCTCACTATAAATACAATGTTGCATTTGTCATTTTAATTATTGGTTCGTTCAGACGTGTGCAATATTAGTTCTTATACAGCCAGGAAAGTGTCTTGAAGCCGAATCAGGGGCTCCTATTAAAAAACTGCATTTATGTTCGTAGCAACCAGATCGCTAGGAAACAAATGAAGGGGACTACACTTCCAGCTTCTGTAATGGCTGTGATGAGTACGCCATTTACTTTTTACAAGCTGCAGCTCTTACTACCAATATAATTTATTTTGCTAGCTCTCACACCAACCAGTGGTGTCACTACGGAGTGACTTTCTCGTAGCAATATATGATTAACCATTCTAATTATTAACTAAAACTTTTTTTAATATCACAGGCACACAAAAAAGTTATCAGATCTAAAGACTTGACACATGTTTCTTTATAAAGGACGGGAATATATTTTCAGCAAACGCCGTTGTCTATAACTACAACATTCGACGTAGTAATCATATTTATCAGGTGGAAGAATCAACAGCTCACTACAAAAAATCACATATAATACATGTACATTATTGTACATCTTGCCAAATGACATTAAACGATTAAATTCAATACAAAAGTTTGAGTCCCAAGTAAAATATTTTCTGCTGCACAAATGCTTCTGTACAATTAGAGACTATACCGACCACCCAAAAGGAAAGTAATATTAAGTTCAACAATGACATTTAATGTATTATGTACCATTTAGATTGTATAATTGTAAAGAAACTGTAACAAGTATTGTACTTCAGCTTCTGGTTCAATGACTCCCATCCCGATCAAGTTTGCGTCCAGTTTCCCTGATCCTCGAGCAAATGCTGAGATAGCCCTTTGTTTTGCTTCTGAACATAAATGTAACTTCAAATTAACTTCTCCCCATAGCACGTCATACAACTGTTTTTGACGTAAATAAAAAAATAAATATATGGCGACGCGTTGAATCCAAAGCCATTGTAAATAGTACGTTTCACGGCGCTTTTTCGCGATTAAAAGAAACTGGAGAGTGGTGTCGCAATTCTAGCTTCAGATTGGGATTCAAAGTTTCGACATGCGTTGTGAAACGTGTCAAATCTTCGGGCCTGACACCTTTCTTTGTCTGCCTGTGCAATTTGAGATCGATAATAATCGACTCCCCTCGGGGACCGATATCGATCCCTTGGTAACACTCTGCTCTAAACGTGTAAAATGAAATCGACGTGACAGTAGAATCGTCATGAACACTCCATTACTTTAACATACAGTTCAGGGGCTGACTGAAGTAGTGAACCACTATGAAAGATTTTCATTTTTAAAACAAAGTACTACCAAGAGGGTAATGTTCACCCGGGTCAGGCGAGTTAATTTGTGGTACTGCGGATGCACTTACCTTGCCTTCGTCAGTCTCAGGAATTGTCAACGATTTCAAGCCGTTCAGCTCATCTGCCGAAACAAGAGACAGCATTACATAGGAATGATTCATTTTTTTGTATTCTAGAATTATAAACAACCTTTTAAGTTTCAAGAAATCGTTCGTTATAACAAGTTATGGCACGGATTATGTCGTATTTGCTATTTACGGCTCGTACAATTGCGTCATCACAAATCCAGATGTATGGCAGCGAAAAAATCGTGGGGAAATAGCGGTAAACCCAACAGTCGACTGCCGTTTTTTCGCACAATGCCAAATACCCGTGACGTCACAGATCTTTCCAAAAGTTAACTCCCTCTTAGAAATTTGTAATACTATTACACAAAAAAAACGTATACAACTCGTATATAATGTTGCTTTATTTCATTCGAACAAATCTGAAACCTTGCTCCGAACATCCCTGGTTTTCAACACATGTACTTATGCAATAAAGCCTAACGTTATAAAGTAGTTGTATAATATACCATTGTTGACTTTTTGGTCAACTAAAGGTTTTTGTCATTGTTCACGTTGCTTTGCACGTATGTTTAAGAGTAAGTAGTTATCTGATATTTACTGAAAATTATGATCTTAACAGGAAATCTTGCTAGAGTCAATTAACACGTTTCTATTATTATTTTAATTATTTATTTTATATTATGCGATAGGCATCGTAATTATCTTAATAATCTGTGAATTTTGTGTACACATGAATTTCAAAATAACCCCGAAGAAAAATATAAAATTAACACTCAGTTTCTGTATAAGAACATGGCGTTTGTAGCATTGTATACCCCTTTCCAAATAACTGTACATATCCCCAGTTTTACCAGTTCTGTCGAAAAATGTGATTATAATTCGTTATTTGTGCCTTTTGTAATAACTTTCCCACTTTGAAACTAGCCATACTGATGCATATTATTGCGATCACCTGCCAACTTAAAAGCTTTTCATGCTTTTCCTTCATTTTTTAAAGTAAAAGATTTATCTCAATTCATATTTTTCAGTAGTGGCAACTATTCCGTTAATATGATTAAACAATTTGTTTCTATGGCAACATAGGTGCTGTGGGAGGCCACATTTGGTTTTTGAGTGAATGCCTGGATCATTTTCTTGTTTTATTTACAATAAGCGCGAGTTTCGTTGGTACGTTTATGTATAATTTAATGTTTTATCTTATATTTTCGTAATTTATCGTTTTTGTTTCGTACTTTTGTGTTTTCAACAACTTTTTGTGTAATTTAATTTTAACTTAAATTTGTTGTCTGTTTTGTGACGAGAAGGCTCCAAGGGGAAAAAAAGAGAAATTAAGGCATTAATAGAACTTAAACCCCGTTTTACGTCGATTTTCTAAGTACGTCCGTTTATAAGACATCATTAGCAAACATTAATACGAAGTTACAGAACGTCGCCACGTAGAAATTGTAGAGTGGTAACATTCATATGGCCAGGAACCATGTGTGTGTGTTAAAGGGGAGAGAGGTGGGGAAGGAATAGGAAGGATAGATCGCATGGCTCCCGTGCGAGGTTAATGGCAGACGCAGCTGGTCTCTAGACGTGTCCTCCAAGCAGATGAACGCAACCCAGCTACTGTCGAAACCCTCAGTTGTTGGGAGTCGAACACTAGGCCCTCCGGTCAGAGGCTATGGTTGTATCCCCGGGAGAGCTTCTAATTACTTACTTGACAAAGGAAATCTTAAGCCGGTCCAAGTGGCCAAGATCGCTAAGGCAGTAGTGCCGTACTTATCTCGGACCGAAGGATCGTGAGTTCGAGTTGTATAGTCGGGCTTGGTTGTGTTGTGTTCGTCCTTTTACCCTCTAATTATTATTATTATTATTATTATTATTATTATTATTATTATTATTATTATTATTATTATTATTGTTATTATTATTAATAATATTATTAATACATCGTATCATCTTCATAGTTTACATACCATTAAATGTAATAGTGGTCGCTAATGACCTAGATGTTGATGCGACCTTAAATAACAACAAAAAAAATCTTACCATCAGATATTGGGTGCTCTCCTCGACATTTCGCTGCGATTTCTTTAAGTTTTTCAGGTACTTCTGCCACCGTCACCTGAAAACATTAAACCATACATTCAATGTCTTCTGTTACGTAAATACATTGCTTTCATAAAGAACACAAAATGTTTTAGTTGTGGTAGTCTTATAGTGTTTGTATGGAAGTCGGACGTCTAGTACTTAATGAAACGTCCTTTATGGTAGTGATTTGAATCTGTGTTCTCACTCAGCAATTATGAGAAATAAACGTTATGTAATGCGTCGTGTAAGATGAACAAGAGATCTTTTGTGTGTTTCTCCAACGCGTAATCTTGGAACTGAGGGCTCTATGAATTATGAACTTTAAAAGTTGACATAACTTATACAATGCAATTATTTGCAGAAAAAATTTGATTTTTTAAATCTTGTAGGGGCTTTATACATAAGTAATATTAAAGAATTAATTACAAGTATTTGTTTCTATATGACGCCGTTGCGGTACCTGGGAAAATACAAAACTACTGCGAGTAATCTGCTATACGTGAATAATAATAATAGTAGTAGTATTAATAATAATAATAGCATTAATAATAAATACATAGTGTGGGGATGCAACCCACAACACACTGCATCACTACTGTGGCGCGTAACTTGAGATGACCTTAAGTGCTCAGGCTTCAAAGGTCAGTTTTTAAATTATTCTTAGTATTTGTTAACTTTTTTCTGTCAGTTAATTGTTAATTCTCGATTACTAACGCGGTCACTGTCAAATTAAATCCCGGTTCTTTCGAATATTTAATGTTCGAATATTTAACTAAACAGTTTTAAAAACATCGATGTTTAAAAACATGGATGGTTTTAGGGTGCCTGTGAGTCATATGTGGTTCACAAAGCATAAAAATGGGTGATTTGATACGTCCGTGAACCACATGTGGGTCACAGACGATTACAATTTTTTTTTTTTACAAATATTTTTACGGAACTCACCGAAACTGCACAGTTTGTGGTTTGAACGTTCATAGAATTTAGAAACACACCAGTACGTGCACAAAAATATTTTTACTTCTGAGAATATTACAATGAAATGATTATTATAAAGTAGTTTCGGCGTGCGGATTATATTTTAATGTTTTCATAGGGACACAGAACGTGTTGGGCATTGAATTCTAGAAACATTAGTGCAATGTTGTCGATGTCGCATCCTTCAAGTAGGGTGGTAGTATACTTTGAAGTACTTCCGCAAAGGGCAAGTGCTGCAAATCACCCTTGCATCCCTGATCCCAGAAGGCGCTGGTCTCCTGTCTTGTCGAGTCAGCTCTGCCAACCCCTCCAAGTTGCTCTACGTGCACGTTCTTTGGAGCGCTCCTTTCGTTACTTGCGGTAACAGGGCAGGGTGTGTGAGTTGCTGTGTTGTTGGCAATACTACAAACTCAAATCTGTAATTCGTTTACTGATGCAAGTTTTTTTTTTTTTTTTGGAGAGCGAAAATGTCAAGTTTTCAAGTGA